GTCGTCCACGTAGGTGATAATAAGCGTCAACTCTTCGCCTCGCCCTTTGTAGAAAACGCACGGGTCTGCTGAAGAACGTTTCGCACCGAAAGCCAATAGAGTCTTGCTCAACCTGTCGTGCCAACACCTTCCGGCTTGTCTCAGACCATATAATGCCTTATTCAAGAGACAGATTTTGTTTTTGCCCTTTAAAGCCTTAAGCATTTCGACTGATTTTCTTCTAATTCCGCTGTCCAGTGGTTCGTTGTCGATTATGCAACGTCTCGTCCGGATGGATACTATGTAGTGCGTTCCTCGCACGTAGATCTCAACAGGTATTTTAAAGCGACTAAAAAACTTTTAACGTTTGTGCGTTGGCCCGATGGCCGCGCACGCGCGGGTCGCGCCCCCCTTGGTGCTTCATTGTTTTCCTGTTGCGTAGAGACTCAACAGTGCGACAATTTTTCTGTGCAATTTTCTCTTAATATTCTTAGTCCTTTTTTCAGTCCATAATGGGGAAGTCAACTCATAAATCGAAGAAACGAAAGAGGTCGTCATCGAGGGATCGGCTAGCGGGTATCGAAAGAAAGATTTCGCGTCTGATTGATATCCTTGGCGAAGGAGAGGTTAGAAGGCCTCGCGCCTCTCCTCTACCATTTTCTTCGTCCTCAATTCTCACTCACCGGGACGACCAAGCGTCGGGTAGTGAGCAATCATTAATACTTCTCGCAGAGGAGGACACAAATGCCGTATCAGGGGATGACATATCGGCGACGCCTGCTAGACAGGACGAGCCGAGAGACTCTCAGATCTCAGGTGTGTACGGACGTCCCAGCTCTGTAATAACAGACAGCGGAGCCGACACAACCTATTCCGATCCTCGGAATAATCCCTCGTTCCCGTCTTTTTTCTTTTTCGCAGATGTGGTAAGTGCCCAGGGTAATAGATCACCTTCTCAGTTGAGAACATCTAACCTAGAAAACGATTCTGCTCTCCCGATCGCGGAGACGGTTGATGAGTCGGCAAATATCCTGTCGAAGGAACTTTTCGGTTCTGAGCTGAAGGAAGCGGAGACCAAACCCTGGAACGTCTTGGTAACCGAAAGATGGCGAGATCTTATACACAAGGGACTTACTCAGGATCAACGAGACGCCTTGCTTAAAAAATTCTCTCCATCAGAGGAAGTGACCTTTCTCAAAGCCCCTGCATTGAATCCTGAATGCAGGTCGGTCCTGAAGAATAACTCCATGGTTAAGAGAGACGATCATAGCTGCGAGAATCAAAACCAGGCAGGCGCGGCGTTGTGTGCCTTGGGCGAGGCCATCTCTGATTTCTTGAAGCCTGAGACACAACCCTCTCTGAGTCCTGAGGTTCGTGGGGCAGTCGCCAAGGTTAAGGAAGGTGCCACGATACTGGCAGACCTCTTTTATCGTCTCTCACAGTCTCGGAAGGCCCAGATTAAACCGGCGTTCAATTTACTGGCCAAGACCACAGCTGACGCCATCCCGGCGGACAATTTCCTGTTTGGTGCGGCTTTTGGAGAGGAATTTAAGAAGGCCTCTTCGATGGAAAAGTCCTCCAGAAGCCTTATAAAGCCGTCCTTGACGGTGTCAAAGAGAGTGCAGCAACCAATTAAAGGTCCAGTACAGAGGGACTTCACCTCTTCGGAAAACTCCCGTGCCCCTGCCCAGAAGACGAGACCGAAGGCGACGAGGAGGTCAGGGGCATCGAGCAGCAGACGCCGGTCGCCGGTGCGGTCCAGGTCTCGATTCAGGAGACATTAAACAACACGCAGGTACAGATTGCGGGGAGACTATCTCATTTCTTTTCTAAATGGAAAGAGATCACCTCGGACCCGATAATCCTGCAAACCATCGGGGGCTATCGACTGCCCTTTAAATCTCATCCACCTGACCAAACTGCTGAACCGACGGTTCGCCTGTCAAAATCTGAAGAGCAGATCTGCCTCTCAGAGGTTTCCAGACTTCTCGATACTGGGGCAATAGAAATTGTATCGGAATGTCAGGGTCAGTTTGTGTCCCCTTTCTTCGTGATTAAGAAATCTTCAGGTGGTTGGAGATTTATCTTAAACCTTAAATACCTTAATAGGTTTATTAACGCTCCACACTTCAAGTTGGAGGACTGGAGGACAGTGGTCCGCCTTCTCTCGCCCCACGATTTCCTGGCTTCAATAGATCTGCAGGATGCCTATTTTCTAGTGCCGATTGCCCAGGAGGATAGACAATATCTGCGCTTTCGTTTCCGAAACCAGCTCTTCCAATTTAAGGTCCTACCGTTCGGACTCGCCTCAGCTCCGTACATCTTTACGAAGCTGTTGAAGCCGGTAATGTTCTCTCTTAGGGAGAAGGGCTTCCTGTCAGTCGTTTACCTGGACGATTTTCTTCTTATTGCACCCTCTCATCAGGAATGTCTCGAAAATATCTCGGCGACAGGGACGCTCTTATCTTCACTCGGTTTCATTATTAATAAATCCAAGAGCGCCCTCACTCCAGCAAAATCGTGTCGTTTTTTGGGTTTTATTTTTGATACAGTTCGTTTCTCTGTCTCGATTCCTTCGGACAAAAGGCAAAGTCTCAAACAATTAACTCACTCTATGTTGGATAAGAAATCATGTAAAATTCGATCACTGGCTAGTTACATTGGATCCCTAATCTCAGTCTGCCCAGCAGTCCAGTATGGCATCTTACATACTAAGATCCTAGAGAGAGTAAAATTTTCAGCTCTCTTAGCCTCACAGGGCGACTTCGAGAGTGAAATGATCCTTCCAGACTCTATTAGAGAGGATCTTCGGTGGTGGAAAAACATTTTTTCGGATCCCTCCCAACGCAATTTTATTAGATCGGGCAACTTTAAACTGGAAATTTTTACAGACACTTCCTTAACAGGTTGGGGTGCGGTCTGTGGCGAATTACGCACCCATGGTTTCTAGTCACCGGAGGATAAACAAAACCATATAAATTACTTAGAGCTTCTCGCGATTTTTCATGCATTAAGATGCTTTGCGGCGCATTTGAAGAATTGCGATATTTTATTGAGGGTAGATAACTCGACCGCGCTTTCTTACGTAAATCGCATGGGATCGGTCAAATTTCCTCATTTATCCGATCTCGCTCGAGAGATCTGGTCCTGGTGCGCGGATCGAGATTTATTTATTTACGCATCTTATATTCCGTCAGCTCAGAATATTGAAGCTGACACCGAGTCACGTACCGTTTCAGAAGAAACTGAATGGACGCTTCAGCAGGACTACTTCAATAGGATTGAGTCTGGTTTCGGCCCCTTTGATATTGATTTGTTTGCCTCATCAATTAACGCAAAATGCCCTCGTTTCGTTTCCTGGTTTCCAGACCCCCTAGCGGTCGCGGTTGACGCATTTTCATTAAATTGGGGCAGCATGTACTTTTACGCTTTCCCCCCATTTATTTTAATTCTAAGGATCCTACGAAAGATTATTACTGACAAGGCAGAGGGCGTGATCGTGGTCCCTTGGTGGCCGGCCCAGCCGTGGTTTCCATTGTTCAAACGGCTTATTATTAACCATCCAATTCGTTTTGAACCGGACGTTAATTTGTTATCGTCCCCTTTCAGACAGACACACCCAGCATGGAGCAGGATTTCCCTGGTTGCCGCGAAGTTATCCGCCAGGCATTTATAACCAGAGGAACGCCAACAAAAGCAATGGACGCTATACTTGCATCTATAAGAGGAACAACGATGGCTCAATATCCCTGTTGAAAATACCCGATTAAAACCGATTGAAAATTTTGAATCCGCATGAATCTGGATTCTTGATGCGGAAAATACCGATTGACGCGGATAGGGTTAGATTTGAATCGTGTTCAATCTGGAATTTCCAGATAGATTTTGATCCGCGTCTATCGGTTTCAACCCGTGATAAAAGTTCGCCGATTGGAACCGATTGGCGCGGATTCAAGTCAATCCGGAAAAGTTGTATTAAAAACAATAGACAATTCAGATACAAATTCGCCGATTGGAACCGATTGGCGCGGATTCAAGTCAATCCGGAAAAATTGTATTAAAAACGATTGATAGACTTCGTCTGAAAATCCGATAGAAACCGATTGTTACTGCTTTAATTCTATCTGGAAATACCGGATTCAATCAAATTACGGATTGAATCCGATTGATCTTGCATTTCCACCAATCCGGTGCCCGATTGGCCCGATTGATATCGAATTGAAACCGATTAATTTTTATAGAAATCAATGCGATATCTATCGGTTTGAATCGGGTATTTTCAGCAGGGATGCAAGGCCCATCAAACGATGGTGGTACTTCTGTAAAACGAAGCAAACTAGTCTTTTCCGTCCATCAGTCTCGTCGGTGTTGGAATTTTTATCTGCCTTGCTATTGGAGGTCGGGTCATACTCCACGCTGAATACATATCGTTCAGCCATCTCTCTTCTATCTTCAAACGAGTCTCTCACCCTCTGATAAAGAGATTTTTTAGAGGAGTAGCCGCGATCAGACCTCAACGCCCACGTTATGATATTATCTGGGATCCGGCCCCAGTGGTTGAGCATCTTGCTACCTTATACCCTCATGAGAACCTATCTCTGGAATCACTCTCCAGAAAGTTAGCTACGCTTCTGGCGCTCACAACCGCCCAAAGGATGCAGACGCTCGCAGCAATAAACATCTCAAACATTGTTTTTTCGGAAGCCTTGATTATTAAGATCCCAGCTAGGCTTAAAACCTCGGGAATGGGTAGGTCTCAACTAGGGTTGTAACGAAAGTGGTTATAACGAAAGCGAATGCGAAAGCGAAAGAAAAAAAATCTTTTTGCGAAAGCGAAAGCGAATGCGAATGCGAAAGATCTTGTTTCTTTCTACTGAATGATATAATTGACAGTTAGGAAAAATGTTATGTAATTAATAATCTAATAATAATAAAAAAATATTTCCAATTCAAATTATTGAATGAGAAATGCAAATTAGTAAATTAGTAACTTATTTATTTTAATTATAATCATATGAAATACATTATTGCAATGTAACACAGAACAGGAACAAAGATATCACTTTCTAATATTAAAACAAAATAAACATTTCTATTATTTCAGAATAAAATAAAGCTCTCTTCTTACTTCTAATTAAGAATTAACTACCCATACAGCACGCATGTCTAAAAGACATCTTTAAGACGTCTTTTAGACATGCGTGCTGTATGGGTATATTATACTTTGGTACTTCTTTCTTTGTTTAGAGTTCACATTTATCTAATTATATGAAATTAATATTCAAAATTTAATAATGGCAAATTATATTTCACAAAGAGCAGTTTTGCTGCTTTCTCACTTTTTAATTTATTTCTCAATGGATCATAAATTAAACTAGCACCACTGAATAGTTGCTCGCTTGGTACACTCCCTGGAGGAGTTGCTAGGAATTGGCGAACAATTGGGATTAAATCTTTATATTTGTTACTATTTATGTTCCACCACAATAGAGGATCTTCTGTAAGCTGAAGTTTTTTGTCTTTATTGTATTCTGTTAACATTGACTTTAGTATAAAAAACCGATTATCGGTGTCAGAAATTGAGCTTCGATTCAATGAATCATCTTCATCAGTGTTTGAATTTAAAATATTTGCTAATGAAGATTGTATTTGCGACAAATATTTCCTTGCGTGCGTATTTGTTGCACACTCGTCATCATTATCATTGGACGACGATTCCAACCTTGATTTTTTAGCTAGAGGTGAACTATCGGATATGGATTCAGAATCAGAATTTATGAGGCAAATAAGATCGGATTGTACTTGCTCTTTTAGAATTTCACTGAAAAATTTTAATTTATACCTAGGATCTAAGTAGGTGGCAATTGCAAATAAATTGTTATTTTGTAGTTCCCCCCTTATGAAAAAATACACTCAATCATACGTTGACGGTCCGAAATAACCATCAAATTGAGTGTAAACCTTCATGAAACACTCGATTATGAAGGTTTACACTCAATTTGATGGTTATTTCGGACCGTCAACGTATGATTGAGTGTATTTTTTCATAAGGGCCCAAATCTTGAATTTAGTTCATTAATTAACTTTCTTATAATTCTCTTCAATATTACTGAAGTATCTGTCTTACATTCTTCTTTTTGTAGTGTTAACTTAAGAACGTGAATGAGAGGTATAACTGACGATATTAAAATTTTAGTACTGCTCAATTCTCGGGTGATCTCTTCAAATGGTTTCAGTACAGCTACGCATTTTTCCATATCCAACCATTCGTCAGTAGATATTGTTATTTTATTATATGTGCTCAAATACAGTATCATGGAATCTTTAATTTTTAACAGGCGTTCCATCA